TGATCACAATGGAAAAGTATAAGTAATTTGAGGAGGACAGTTATTGTTTATTGTTTTATTAATGTTGGCATGCTTTTTTTGGTTCACTACTGTTGAAGACATTTGGACTAATGCAACCACTTTAACAAATCCCTTTTTTCAATTTCCTTCTAGTCAGCGTTGTTGTAAACAGTGCCTTGTAAAATCAACAAATTTGATATATTACTAAACTTTTACTGCCATATTTTTAGTTTACATGTTTTATTTTCTATTATCCAAATATTTTGTTATTACGACTCTTATTTAGGCTGATAGGCTTATGTAGAAAGTGGAATCTAGCATGTTCACTGGAAAACCAGAAGAAGAGATGAATACAGTCTGAAGGCATGACATTTGCAAGGAGTTGTAAAAAATAAAAGTTTAAGAAGTCCTTTATTTCTCATTTCTACCTCCAAAGGAAGGGTCAGCCAGCGAGGTATGTTTATATGTTTTTATATATATTTTTATGTCGTTTTGTACTCATGACACCATTTCACTTAAGTTTATGTTGTATTTTAGTTTGACGGTGGTTTTGTTGTCAGTGGCAAAGAAAGTATAAGAAGATTTGCAATAAAACTGACACCTGAAGTGAAAGACCTCGCATGCCAACAGGAAAAGGAAGAGAATTCCATAAAGAAAAACTATAGGGGTTGCAATGTCACTTTGAAAATACTTATGACAGATGGAAAGCATTAATTAAAGTTGCTAAAAAAAATCTGTTATTAAAGAAGATCCTGTTGACATTCTTTAAGATCACATGGACATTGTGCAAAGATGGTCTTAATGATATTTATGACCAATACAGAGCAATGGGTGCACCACCTCATAATATGCGTTCTAAGTTAGACGAATGAACATCAGTGACTACAGAAGTTTTGCCAAACATCCAGTGCCATGTTGAGGGAACAAATAAGGAGGAGATTGTTTGGCCTGATGCCAGTTCTGTATTCACATCTTTCACATCATTCTCATCTTCTAGCAGTAAATGTTAAAATGTACATATATATCTATTGTAATGTTACATGTTGAAGTTAAATCACTATAGGTTAGTGATTTGGTGGGAGTTTTACTGCCATATTTTTAGTTTACATGTTTTATTTTCTATTATGCAAATTTTTTGTTATTAAGACTCTTATTTTGAAAGGCTTATGTAGGAAGTGGAATCTAGCATGTTCACTGGAAAACCAGAAGAAAAGATGAATACAGTCTGAAGGCATGACATTTGCAAGAAGTTGTACAAAACTAAATTTAAGTTTAAGAAGTCATTTATTTCTCATTTCTTCCTCAAAAGGAAGGGTCAGCCAGCGACGTATGTTTATATGTATTTATGTTATTTTTTATGTCGTTTTGTACTCATGACACCATCTCACCTAAAGGGACACTATGCAACATTTTTCAGTTAATTAATGTGTTCCATAACGTTTTGGATGATTAAATGAGTCATTTCAGGTTGAACAAAGGTATTCTCGGCCGCCCTGGTGGTCTGTGGGGGAAATACTGCACTTGCAACTGCAGGAGCACCGACCCGCACCCACAGGCTCAGAAGTCTCGTGAGAGTCAGTCTTGCTTTACGGCGAGAACTGCTATACCCCCCAGTTAAAAGCGTTCTCGTTGCTAGCACAGTGGCGATCTTTGTGCAGTTATGCTACGTTCACGCAGCAAAAGCAGCAAAATCGCGTCTGCTGCTTCCTTTTTGCTGCTTGTACCAGTTAGTTCTGACTCGTGGCTGAAGCAGCTTTGCTGCTCCGGCTGTGTCTGAGGCGCGTTGGGCGGAGCTTCACTATCCTTTCTCTGCCTTGCAGCTATATTTGCTGTGATCAGTGGGAATAAAGTAGTTTTAATATGTGTTTAAGTGAGAAAATACACCTGAAAACGTAATCATTGCAGTCAGTTCATTCAGATTATTATCCTGCCTTCAATATTTTTTCTGTCGGAGCCGCTCAGACCCCCACATACCAGCGGGGCGCCAACAGTATGGATCCCTTCATCAGCAGCGGTTCACCGCGGCAGCTGGTAGGTGTTTTTCATCTAAATAATCCAAACTGCATATTCTGCCGGCAGATTTCTGCATTTTAAGTTAATTTAGGCGTCAATAAACTGTTTAAGAGGAGAGATCATCAGCGCTGTGTCTCTCTCCCTGCGTTAAACGCACCCGACGCGCTGCTTCAGCTGCTCAGACGTGCTGCGCCTGGTGCTCAAAACGCGCCGCGGGACCTTTTGTTGCACCTTGACGCGCGTCAACCATTGACTTTGCATGTAAACTCGCTGCTTCTGTCGCGCCAGCTACGTCCAGTGTGAACGCAGCGTTAGTCATTTGCTGCTAAGCTCAAAACAACCGCGCCTGGCTTGACGGAGAAACCAGGAGAACAGCTGTGCATATTTACGACAGTGCACTTTTACTTTCGCCCTCTGGAGGGAGCCTCACTGGAAAATCAACACCGGTTGCATAGTGTACCTTTAAGTTTATGTTGTATTTTAGTTTGACGGTGGTTTTGGTGTCAGTGGCCAAGAAATTATAAAAAGATTTGCAATAAAACTGACTTCAGACCAGCAGTAACAAACTCTTTGTTGCCGTCAAGAAGAGATGGAAGTGATAGTAAACATTTCCTTCATACAGTATCATAAATGCAGTATTATGGTTTACTATTACGCATCAAAGTTTCTACTAATAAATTGTAAAACAAAATGTCCTTTGGGCTATAGATGCAGATTTGTGCTGTTTTTTTCTTTTTAATATATAACTGAAAGAAAATATAGCAGAGGGAAAAAGCACATGAGTCAGGGGGACATTGACAGTACAATCCAGTGAAGCATGAAAAAGGGATAAGAGATTTGAATACTTTAAATGAGATGTGATGAGTAGCATTAAACTATGGAAACCAGGTGAATGCAATAGACAGATTATAGAGCAGCTTGGGTAGAATCTTTGGAAAGATTTAAGCAAAGATTAAAGAATGGGAACCAGAGAAACTGAATAGTATCACAGAGGATCCAACTAACCAGTGCTAAAGACTAAAGATAAGAAATGAGATCAAATGCACACAACAGGACTAATAAAAAGCCAAATTTTTTCCAAAACTCAATTAACTGTTATGAGACAATAACACTAAATACAAACACATGAACCAACACATGAGTTGCGGATCATAATAGATATCTTCACAACGTATGAAAATGATGATGGTCAGTAGCAGTCAAACCTCTGATTGTGTCAGTATCCAAAATGCATGGAAATGCATTTTATTTATTTTGTACTTGATTGGTATGGACACTTGCAAAAGCCTTTTTTCTCTGACTGTGAATTGATGAAGTTACATTTTAAATAAACAAAACGGAAAGAGGGATTATCCAACTTCTTCATTACAAAATAGTTTAGATCTATAATTTTAGCTGATCAAAGAGTGTTATGTCATTAAGTTTGGAAGTCCTCCTGTCCATCATTCTAATAACCAGTTCTCTCTACAGCTCCTCTATCACATTCTAGTCAGGACTCTGACTGGGCTCATTATTGGCTTGAGCAAGAATCTCCAAAACTTTTTCAAGCTTAATATCCCTACTTTTGCAAACAAAAGTCATTTGCTGTCAATTTTACCAAAAACAAGGGTAATATTAACACTACCACAATAGAGCTGATGCGGATCTGCATTTTCCGCTCTCCTTCTCTGTGAAAGTGCTCCCTTCATCTATTGATATCTTCTGGTGATCAAATGGAGTACAGTGGATCAGCTTGCTCTCAGTTATTTTTCCACTGATTAACTGCTTAATAAATGGTTCAGCACTCATATTCTGAAGCAGATCTCACTTGCATTATTTTCCTTAAAAAAAAAAAAAAGATTTTTCTTCTTTCCTGAAAACTTGTTTTATTCTCATCTATATATATATAAACAAGTGACAGCACTGATGAAGTATTGTACAGTGGATCAGAGGCCCTTTGAGTTCAGCTATGGAAAAAAGGTAAATATAAACAGTTTTAACCCAAAAGTTTAACTGTAAACTATATTTTTAAATGTAGTGATTATTTGTGGTTTATTTCCCTTTCTAGGAACCATCACACAGCTTATCTCACATAAACAGGAAGGAACAGGGGAAAAGTCTTGCATTTCCTCTTTAAGCTTCTCAACCACACAGTAAGAAACCATTAGCAATGTTGAAATAGAATTATATTTATTCTTATGAAACAAAACATATCAAAAATACAAAACAGATTTTAAGAATTCCCCCAATGAAAGAGATGTAAACAAGAAATAAACTGCTTCAATGTAAAAAAAATATATAAGATGTGCGCAAAAACCATGTGTTACAGCGGTGCTACAATTCCAGAGGACTGTAATATCTACCCTTAGATAAATTTTGAGACGAACAATAAGCAAACTCCCCAAATAACTCATTTAGAAGTATACAGATGCAATAAATAAAGCAGCCTTGCAGCCACACATGAATGAGGCCAGAGTTTTCAGTAGCATATTTACAAACAGATATTCAAATGATAAATCTTTCTTTCCCTCACTGAACAGTCTTTTATTCTTACTTTCTGTTTTTATATTTTCATGCTTATGTATGCAAATCTGCATGCTTCAACTTGTCTTTCAGCTAGCTGCTAATACATCAGAAACTCCCTGCTCAGTGAAATTCAATATTCAATATTCTATTCTATTCTATTCTATTCTATTCTATTCTATTCTATTCTATTCTATTCTATTCTATTCTATTCTATTCTATTCTATTCACTGCTCCTGTGTTTAAGGTTTGATCAATATTTCTGAAACTCAAAGCTTTGAAAAAAGAAAACATTTGTTTTTTTTAATCTCCCTTGATGTACCTTAATGAAGCAGCCTACATTATTAGTAATGCTGATAAAAAAAAACTATATATATATATATATATATATATATATATATATATATATATATATATATATATATATATATATATATATATATATATATATATATATATATATATATTCAAAATAAGTTACAAAATAAGTATTGGCATAAAAATGAAGCATGTAAGGTGTAAAGATAGGCCATAAAGCTTTAATAGGCACATTCTGCTTCTGGTATATTAGATGTGAGACTCTCCTGTGTCCTGGGTACTTCTTGATGCCTGAAGATAAAAAATTCAAAGAATATAAGTGAAAAAAATGCATTTATGAAAATATTTCTTAATTATGCTGCAATGCTTTTCTTTGTCAGAGTAAAATACACTATAGCCTACTTCACTTCAGTATTTCATAATTACTGATTTAAACCAAAGACAGTTGAGGTGCGGTCTGAGGCTGTTTGAAGGTTTGTACAAAATTTAGAAAATACTTGATAATTGGGTTTATTTATAATATCCAGTCTTGGAAAATAAATGTTAAGCTATAGTTTAAACCATATACGAACATAATCTGAATAAACCAACAAATAGGGTTCTTTGATATTTGAAATAAAATTACACTTTATATTTAGTTTGGTTAAAACCAGTTAAGATTTTGTAATTATTAAAGGCACACCTATGGATATCCTTTAAAAGGTCATGGTAAGGTAAAAAGATGCTAACTTAAGCTTTTTACCACAATGGAACTGGAACTATAATTATATGAGGTAAGATAAAATGGAAATGTTCATCCTAGGCTATACTAAAGATTCTTTCAAGTAGAGTAAAATAAGGAATAAGTCTGTAAGTTTAAAAACAACTTTCTTGGACTTGTTTACTTTATGAAAAAGAGGAAATTATGAAGAAAGAACATTGTGTTCAAAAACATAATGAGCATGCTGAGAGATAAGAACATAGAGCTTGAGGATACATTGCTTTTTCAAGTTGGCTATGAACCAAAATATATCAACAGATTAGTTACAAAGCAACTATGGGATCACGAAAATTGATGTTTTGGAGAAAAGTATTAACCATCAAAATCCATCATTTTAGTAACATTGAAACTTCATGAACACAGCCAGGAAGGTGTGTCTGAGCAAAGTAGGCCACAAATCAGACATTAGTTAACCAGGTCTGTCTGGAATAAGGAGTTTCAGCAAATTTTTGTTAGAAAAGTAAAATGTTTAGCCAAAGTAATATAGTAAAAACAACAACAAAAAAACTACTGAGGAAATATATGAAATCTTTGAATAAAAAAAATAAAAATAATAAACAATAAAACTTCTCCTAATTTAGAAAATAGCAATGTTGTGTTTGTAGGATAAAATGAATTAAGCTAAGCCTGAAATGACTCACGTCTCTGGCAGACTTAGATTAAAAGTATGTAATTTTGTGAACATACTTCTTTTGAATAGAAATAGTATTGATGGCAAAAAATTTGCTTTTAAGATCAATGACTTATTGCTTATCATCAAACTTGTGAAAACCAGTGAAAACCATTAAAAGTGAATCAGCAGATTTTAAAGACAGTTTAGGTGCTGTAAGGCAAACATGTCTTGTATTTGTTGTTAATCTGTTGCACTAATGCTGTCTATCCTAAATCTGATGCGTCTTTTTCCAACAACAGCAAAGTAAAAAAAAAAAAAAAAGTAATTTTAAATCAAACCCTTGCAGATGTTGAAGTTGCAGAATTAATAATTCTTGGCATGGCTTAACTGTACAATAGAAAATGTTACATTTCATGTAATACAAGAGAAGGAAAAATAGAACTGTTATATCTTATATATGTAAATATATACAAATATCTGGTTCCAACTATAATATTTACATGTTTCTCTTGGTGGATTGGTGTGAATGTTTTTTTTGTTTATTATGCAACCAACTATTTAATTAAATGTAAAATGTATGCTTACATTAGCTTTACTTGAATGTGAGAAGTTGAACTCGGAGTATGCTCTCTTCTGAGGTGTGCATAAACGAGAAAGAATGTTTTCATACTCCTCCCTCACCTAAAATCAGAAAACACATTGAGTTCTTTTAATTGAAGATGCGGAAATACAAAAGCAGTATTTTTGTTAATTTAAAAATAAAAAAAATAAAAAAATGATGGCTGACCTGCTTTGAAAAAAGACAGTGCATGACAAAGAGCATGACACCTTGCAGGCTCCCCAAAATAGTGAACAGATAAGACATGACTATTGTGCCCTTCTCAAACTGGAAACAGCCAAAGATCCACATGGTGCCGAGCACACAGAGCTGAGCCACTGCAGTAATGGTGAAAGCCCTGCAGGGGGCAACAAATACACATAAAATATTAAATAAAACTGGAGGCACTTGATTTGTTCATGTTAGGGAGGGTCAGTCACAAAGGAAATTGGGAAATTTTACTGACATTCTTCACAGTGATCAGTTAGTTTGATAGTTTTAGACATTTCAGTTTTAGCAGCACTTACTTGATTTTATGCAAGCTGTCCAGGTCCGGGTTTAAACTTGAAAACTTCTGAGCTAATTTCCACACGGTAATGAGAAAGAAGAAAATGTTTACCTGGAAGATCAACAAAGTTTTGAACAGAAATTAGTTTGGTTTCACAAATGTTTCTAAGTAAATTATTAATTATTTAAGATGAACTCTCACAATAATGATAACACAGGCAGGTCCAAAGAAACTCCAAATGGAATCCAAATTTAGCCAGCAACTAGAACACAGACACAGAGTTTATTCAGATTTTAGGTTAAAATTCTATAAATTCAAAGGTTAGGTTAAATTAGCTGATAGACGTACTATTTCTTAGTTCCATATCCATCTGCATTCACCAAAGCAGTGATGCCAACAATTACAGCTGGGACTCCGTAGCCTCCTGCCATCATGTAGATAGTTTTAAAGTTGGTGTTGAAGACGAGGACCACCATCCTAAAGAGCTGGATTCCCTCCAGACACATCCAGCAGAATGTAGCCAGGTAGAAGAAGTGCAGCATCCCTGCCACTACTGCACAGCCAATCTAGGAAAGCATGGGATTCAGCATGAAAATAGGAGAAAGAACACAATTTCAAGATGATTTCAAGATTTATAAAAGAGATACTCTCTGAGGTAATTTGTTCTAAAAGGATGAATATATTGAAAATGACTGCAGTGAATCAAATTGGTTTATTTACATCTAATTTGTAAAGAAAGCAAGCAGATTACATTGAGACATAAACTTGCAGGATTCACTTCTCCTGTCTAAACATGGAGCCATATGAGACTAAGAGCGGCAAACACTTTCAGGACCATTTTACGTACGTCACAAAATGTTAATCTATTTACCTTATTTGTTGTCTGAGAGATCCCTACGAGAAAGATAAGGGTTGCAGTAAAGAGGCTGATGCAGAGGTGCAGGTGAATGGTTGTTCTTGGGCTTTTAATGGACCGGATCATTGAAAATGTCAGGATGCAGAAAAACAAGCAAATCAGTGAAAGGGAGAGTCCTATCCAGGAGATCGCATGCAACTCAAAATGGCCCTGTTGTGAAGACAAGATGGAAGCGTTAGAAAACTTATGGTGTAAAGGTGATGCATTGTATTTTATGGTGTAAGACGTTTTATGGTTTGAATCACAGTAGGTAAGCTTTTAGAACCTCTACGTCATAGAGAGCCATGAGCACAGCGAAGCTGCTCAGGTGGTTACAGGAGCACACAGTATATTCAGAGTTAGATTCCACCATGCTGCAGCCACGAGATGACCATGAATCTCCGTCCTTTGAGGAATCCCAGAACACACAGGTGTGTGAAGTTTGATTTGACTGCAAAACAGATAAATGCATAAGTTAAACAATTACCTTAAAAATGTAAATGTTATGAAAACAAAACAACAAAAAATAGGCTTTTTCCTTTACCTGATCAAGGTGGTGCAAAGTTATATTGACTGGTTCTTTAAGGTGTGTTGTGTCTCTATTACTGACAGTGACAGTCACCACTTTTGAGTTCACTTTAAATCTTTGGTTTTCAGTCTTTTCCATTCCACTAAAATAACCATTTGCAGTTTCTTCCAGGTTTAAATAGCTCAGCAAGGAAACTGTTGTATGTCCTTTGACAACAGGAAAAATAGGTTCAGTGTTTGTAATTAATGTGTTTCAAATGTTTTTTTATAGACATCATTGTTACCTGGGTAAGATGAGATATCTCCTGCCGCTTCCTCCAACATGATGTCCAGTTTAGCATGCTTAGATTGTAAAGTCTTTAATCCTCGGGGAACAGTCGACCCAGTGTACACCAAAAGCTGTATTTCTGTTTGAAAATTGTTACTGAACTCAAATTACTTACTTAGTAGAAACCATCAGCCTTTAGAAAGTATCATTGCAATTTAGACTTCAAAGAAGCACATTGTTGTAATAAAGGACAAAATGGAGTCTAAGGAGAGTCTTTATTTTTTTGTTTTAGAAGCAGTCATCTTCAGTTTTACCTGTTTGTTTGGTGGATCTATTAGTTCCTGGTGGTTTAATAAAAGGTCCTATGAACCTTAGACTTTGTTCCACCAAGTCAAAAAAGCTGGAGACTTTCCTGCTACTAGTGAGAAACCCAGTCGATAAAATTTGGTCAATTATGGAGAGCAGGCTCTATATTATGGGGAGAGAAAAGGAAACATCATGCATGTAGGAAAGATTAAACATAAAGCAGAGTCAGACTGAGAACAGACTTTTTTGCGGCATAGCTGCACACCATCTAACGGCATACCGGTGAAAAACTTCCTTTTGTCTTTGAGAATAAAAGATGTTTCCAAAAAATAATTTTACCTCTAGTAAGCCTTCTCCATTAAGGTCTTCTACATCCGCATTCTCCATGAGTTTTAGGCAGCGTTTACTCAGTAGCTTCACACCATCATGTACAATGTGAAAATTCTAAAACCAAACCAAGAAACAGTTTGAAATTTGTCAATAATAAGAGACATTTAGGAAGAGCATGATGGTAAAAATAAATAGAAAAAACAGTTACCTCTGCTAGATTATTGACATCTCTGAAAATGCCACAGTCCAGTTCTTAAAGAAAGAAAAATATTAATTGACTTTGTGAAAATGATTTTTTCAAGTTTTTTTCTTCTAAGACATAAAACCTGCTTATATTTGCTGTCCAAAATAAACTAAGAGCTGATTTTACTCTTACCAGAACAACGAGATTTGTTGTTGCCGTAGTTAGTAAACCCTGCAGAGCATGCACAATAATGACCACTGGTCCCTTGGTGGCATGTTCCATTTCCACAGATTGTTTCATCAGTCTTACATATATCTGGAAATTGAAACAAATCAAGAAGTGGAAACAAATTGTCTGCCAGTTTGTTTCAGTCAGAGCCATTACAGTGTTCAACTAGTATGTCTCATTTCAACTCAATGTTTTTACAGTGGATTTAGCATAATAATTTTCTAAATCTTTAAATAAAGGATTTTGATTCTGTAAATCTTCTCATATCAGGTCGTAATCCTCACCTTCACATTGCTGTCTCTTTCCAATAATGGTCATATTTCCAGATTTAGGTAAGTAACCAGCATTGCAGGTGCAGTTATAACTGCCTTGTGTGTTTATGCAGGTTGCATTTGAACCACAAACATTTTCATCTTTACATTCATCTTGATCTGTGTGAAAGAGGGGAAGAAATGGAGAAAAAAAAAATTCAGAGAAAAACTAACTCTGAACCAACACTCTAAATGGAGAGCAAAACGAACACCACTGCACAGGAAGTCAATGTGTTACCTATGCATGAGACGTTGTCAGTGCGATAAAATTTTTTTGCTTTAGGAGAAGACTGAAATCCATGTTCACAAGTGCAATAGTAGTTGGGAACTGTGTTGGTACAGTTGGTATTTGGTCCACAGAGATCTTTGTCATCACATTCATTAATATCTTTGTTGAAACAGATTAGAAAAGAAAAAAGATGTATAATAAATTATATTATCAATCATCACTATTAATAAAGACTACTTACCATGACATTTTGCAGATTGTTCGAAAGTTAAATTTACAGCTTCGTAGGGCGACTTGTAGCCCTCTTTACACTGGCAGTAGAAACTGCCATGGGTGTTGAAACAATTTGCTCTTGAGCCACAAATTGGTCCGGGATGAGCACATTCATCTTCATCTACGTTAAGGAATGAGAATAGTAAAAAAAATTATTTCAGAATGAAATAATGTTCGATTATACTACTAAAAACATAAAGAAAGAACATTATAAATGATGAAAAGAAGTTTTTGAGTAAATAAATAATGAAAAACTATCCAAAAAAATACATATCTATGAATATGATAAACAACAATGTAGTATTTCTAATTTTTATTAGAGAGCTACACATACAGTATCTCATATAACTATCTGTTCCATTTAGAAAGTTTGTTTTATTTACATACCAACACATTTGTCTTCATATAAACTAAATCCAACACCGCATGTTGTTTCAGATTTAACAGTAGAGATCAAAGCTGAAAAGCAAACAAAAAAAAAATTACAAGAAATGTTAACCCTTTTAATGGAGCCTTTAATATTTTAATCCTTGTATTCAACACTAATAATTTTTAAAATCATACAGTACAATGCAGCATAATAAGTCAATTATCTTCTCAGTAATACTACCACTTTTGAATAACGCGTTTAGCTGTTTTTTATATGTGAAAAAGTGTCAGCGTTGTTTCTTGTTGCTAGAGACAGGAAAACAGTTTTCTTCCACTGACTGGTCATGTGGTTAAAATGTGGTAAGAAATAATGTGGGTAGGAGCAGATGTGGTCATAATGTATTTCTATGTTGTGTTTAAATTCAATGAGGAAATTGAAATTATTGTTGATTTTTTTGAAGATAACTTGAAATTAGATCAGCTTTATATGACTAATTGATTTCTGTTCAATTAAACAGCTTATTATAAAATTTAGATGGGTGGTGCAATTATTAGGTTTCTTTAGGCAAACAGTCATTTATATATATGGATATCTATCTACACATAATTGTATATTCTTAAAAAATAAATTTCAACTTGACAGACATGACTTACCCAGTATCAGGAGGGCAGACTGGGCTCTCATGGTGTGGCGAAAAGCTGAATCCAGATCAGTATTTTAGAAGTTAAAAAGTATTTTCCACATTCAAAAGGTCTGAGGCTCTTTTTTCCTTGGTTCCGCTTGAACAATACAAAAATGGATAAAACAGAAAGCTGAGTGCACAAGTTAAAGTCTATAAAAAAGCAGGATAAATACTTTTGAGTTTATCAACGCCTGGTTATATAAAACTTCTTTATATAAAATCTTATCTCTCCTTTCTCTTCAACCCCCACTCTGATTTCTCTATTGAGGCGACCTGCCAGGGATTACTAGAGCTTTGAAGGAGGATCTCTCTCTTTTTTTCTTTCTCTCTCGCTCAGTTTGAGTCACGCCTTTAACTCTGGTTTGTACAACCAGCAACATTTAAGGAACTGATGTACTTTTAGGGGTGAGGCAGCAGAGACAGGATGTAGTCATGACAGCCTACAAACATTTCAATACATGAGAAAAAAGACATCACCGAAAGGTGTGTTTTCACAGATAAGAATTTGCAACTTCACACTTCATTGTGTCATGGAGCAATTCTGTCTAAATTATCCTCCCAAAGGAACACAGCCGCTTGACTATGATGATAACATTTATATGGCTTTTCTTCTAACAGTTTCTAATTCTGACAATGCTGCTAAAAAAAAACAACAAAGGATGTACTCATCAGTGTATTCAGCATGTTGCCACTACTGTATATGCTGAAAACACATGGGGTTACATGTGCACATGTATAAATCTGTGACATGTAGCCATCAGCAGTATATCTTACTAGTTAGACTTTTGAGGTTTTTAATTTGCTTATAAGTGCTGAAACTTAAAACTGATCTTGACTGTAGATGTACATGAAATAAAGTTAATTAAGTTTGAGAAAAGCAGAAAGTTTCAGTTATCCATCAATCCTCGACTGCTTGTCAATTGATGTAATAAATATTGTGTTGCAAGAAGGGCCAACTAAATCAAATTTAATGGGACTGAAAAAAAGACTGAAGTAAAACAAAAAATCTAAAAAAAAAAACAGGTAGGATGGAGACAGTCAAACTCTACTAAAAAGTTTGAAGCCCTACTTGCTTTGTTGCTGGGTTGCTTCAAGGACCCATTTTGATAAGGTTCATTACTGATAGTACCCGTGCAAACTATTCTGTTTTTTTGTCTCTTTATTAAGAAAAAAGTATATTTCTGAGAATTACATGTAATTCTTAATGTTGGTTTCGAGGTTTTTGGACGTTTTCTCATGGATATGTTTTAATCTTATTCTGTACATTATCACATAAATTTGAGGGAAATCTTTTAAGAAAGAAGGGCTCTCTCTGGAGCCAAAGTGTGTGCTACGTTCCGGCTCTGGAACAAAAATTAGTATTAAAGTACCCTGTCTTGAGCCAAAGTGTGTGCTAAGTTCCGGCTCTGGAACAAAAATTAGTATTAAAGTACCCTGTCTTGAGCCAAAGTGTGTGCTAAGTTCCCTCTCTGGAGCCAAAATAAGTGTTAAAGATCCCTATCTGGAGCCAAAGCATGTGCTACAGTGCCCTCTCTGGAACCAAAATAAGTGTTAAAGTGGCCTCCCTGGAGCAAAAGTGTGCTAAAGTGCCCTCTCTGGAACCACAATAAGTGTTAAAGTGCCCTCTCTGGAGCCAAAGTGTGTGCTAAGTTCCCTCTCTGGAACCAAAATAAGTGTTAAAGTGCCCTCTCTAGGGCAAAAGTGTGCTAAAGTTCCCTCTCTGGAGCCAAAGTGTGTGCTAAGTTCCCTCTCTGGAGCCAAAATAAGTGTTAAAGATCCCTATCTGGAGCCAAAGCATGTGCTACAGTGCCCTATCTGGAACCAAAATAAGTGTTAAAGTGGCCTCCCTGGAGCAAAAGTGTGCTAAAGTGCAATCTCTGGAACCAAAGCTTGTGCTAAAGTGCCCTCTCTGGAGCCAAAGTGTGTGATAAGTTCCCTCTCTGGAGCGCCAAAGCATGTGCTAAAGTGTCCTCTCTGGAACCAAAATAAGTGTTAAAGTGTCCTCTCTAAAGTGCCCACTTTGACGCCAATGCGAGTACTAATGTGCCCTCTCTGGAGCCAAAGGGTGTGCTTTGTTCCCTCTCTTGAACCAAATTTTATGTTATTGTGTTCTCTCTTGAACCACATTGTGTCTTAAAGTGTTTCTATGTTCTTGAATAGGTGCTATATCAGCCCCTTTTTTTCTTCTTCCCTTACCCTTCAAAAAGTTTGTGCATACCAATGCTCTATGACATAAGCCAGAGGCCCCTGAAGGCTGAACATGGTAAAAAGATAAGACAAGATGGACCGTCACTCTTTCCAGCTGGAATCTGCTCAATATTTTTTGTTTATACTCAATGAAGTTGAGTATAAACAGCTGGGAAACCACAGTCACAATAAATTCCCCGCAAACGGCAAAATATGCATATAATGCTTTTCAGAATTAACTTCATTACATGCATGTGACATGTACAAAGCATAAAAGAGGTTACAGTATGTTTATTTGCTCAGCAACCATTTGCTTGTTTGGCAGTTGTAGACGGCATGCAGGTCTTTTGCAATCTACTTTTTGAATGCTTGTTGTCTAGGTGGGAGGTTAGACTTTAAAACTTCTGAGCCAAAATCTATACGGTGATGAGGATTATGAATGTGTTAAAAGGATAGTTCAGGCTTTTGGACATGAAGTTGTGTGAAACAATCGCCATCTGTAGCTGAGATGCAGCAGTGTCACAGAGCCTCCTGCTATGAGAAAAGTATGGTAATGTCACAGAATGCAATGCAAATATATTTATATAGCACAATTCAGTACAAAGGCAATTTAATGTGCTGTACATGAATTAAACAATAAAGTAGAAAAATAAAAGCAGAGTAAAAGTGAGTAAAGATAAAAACCTGATAAAGGCAGGTAGTAAAGACCTGATTGGTCTTGGAGTTTGATACACTAATAATAAATCTGTTATGTATTTAGGTGCTGATCAATTCAGTGATCTATAGACTAACAGAAGAATCTTAAAGTCTATTTTCTGAGCTATTTCAGAACCAGGCTGATGTGCTCTACTTTCTTAGTTCTAGTGAGAATACACGCAGCAGTGTTTTGGATCAGCTGCAGCTGCCTGATGGACTTTTTAGCAAACCTGTAAAGACGCTGTTGCTGTAATCAATTCTACTGAAAATAAATGCATGAATGAGTTTTTCTAGATCTCCTGCTTGGTCTCCTTGATCTCCTGATATCCTGCTTGGACATTAGTCCTTTAATCCTGCAAATGTTCTTCAGGTGATAAAATGGTGACTTAGTAACTGCCTTTCTGTGCCCCTAAAGGTTCAAGCCTGAGTCCATCATGACACCAAGATTTTGACCAAAATAAGTGGTTTCCTGCTGTAGTAGTTGAAGCTCTGGGGTAACTCAGGATCTCTCCTTTTTTGGTCTGAAGATTATTACCTCAGTTTTATTTTTATTCAGTTGGAGAAAATTTCGTTTGTTTAAAGTACAGGGGCACAAATAACGTATTTAAGCTAGAAAATATGCATGTGTTTAGTTAGACTATTAAGAACTATTGAAATATGGTCTTAAGAGGTTTGTTGATGGCTTTTTAAAAGCCAATTTAATTTAGCCCCTTTACTTGCTGTAAAACTTTGCCAAGCTCAAAAACCCTTGAACCTCCTTTCTTGAAGTAGGAACCGACCAGTCTGCTTCCACCTTGGCAGGATCCATCTAGTTCACACCGTGACCAACAATCAAGCCAAACCAAGAGGAAAATGTAACATTTTATTTCATTCATATGTAGTGATCCTTAAATGTATTTTCAGTTGAAGCACCAACATTATTTTTCACTGCAACTCCTGTTTGCTTCACTAAAGTAAAAGTGGAATGGCTTCAAGTTTGGTAAATTTCAATGAAAACAAAGCAGATGTTATACATTTTGGTCACAATGGAAATCATAGCACATCTCCTTCTAACCCTGGAAGCCTCCAGTTCTAAAATCCCATGTCAGTGATGTTGTAGTATTTCCTGATTCTAGTCTCCATCCTGAGACAACAGAAAACAGATCAGCTTGGTTTTAAAAAGATGGTATTTTAAAATGAGACTTTT